CTGAATTCATAGTTTCAAAACTAACAGACATCTAAAATAACTTTCCAGGGATAAGGCTCTAAGGCAGAATGTATCTTCTTTCTATCATCCCTCTTGTCAGTGGAGTTTTACTGGTGTTTCATGCCATCTCAGCATACATAAAAAATGCATAGGCACTATCAGAGTTTTTATATACAAGCATTTCCCCAACCTGGACTAAAGATAATTTATTTCTGCCATGATTTGGATTTAGGTGCCAACTCTAAAACAGTGTATAGTAGTACCCAGAGGTAATGAAAAGAAAGAGAAAACTTCTGCATTTGATTTCAACATACACATTCATTCAGTCCCACATTGCTTCATGCCAGGTAAAAAAAAAACCAATAAGAGCAAACAAACTATTTTTTAAAAGAGACTTTTAGCCAAAAGGAAACATCTGCATAGATGATTAAACTTGAAACTGCAGTATGTACCCTCAAAAGAGCATCTTACCTGTTAGGATGCCCTGAATACATATAAGGCAGCGAGCAGCAAAGACAGCAGGAGATAGAGGCACCAATCCTTGAAAAAGTTCACGGAGTGCTGAAACCAACCAGCAGGCAAGAACACCCACTCAATGACACCCACAACAGGAACGAACACTTTCTTGCAGAGCTCACCAAGGTCTCACAAACACACATAGGTACTGAGCTGTACATTAATGATTCCAACAAAAACTATAATTATTTTCACTCACAGGATTGCCTTATATATTTTAGAAAAGGAAAATCTGAAAATGTATGTGCTAGTCATTTTATAATTTTCCCTAGCAAATTCAACTAAAACTGTCATACTACATGAAATTGTGTATTTGATTTTTCATATTGCCCAGAATTATTAGGCTCAGCTCCATCATCAAATCTTCTTGCATCAAGCCAACAAACACTGTATTTAATTTTATCACATATTCACTTAGGTTAAAAAAAAAAAAAAGAAAATTATATAAATAATGGTGATTTAATTTTTGTAAATGTCTAATAAGTGTCTTTCATTGCTTTTTGTCACTAACAAGAGCTTTGTCTTCTTAGAATGTTTTAAATTATTTACTGCAGGCGTCAGTCACTATCCTCTGTAAGGTAGTTCGCGTGTTTTTTCACTTTATCATTAACATGGTTGAAAGCAACCATAACAGAAATTAAAACTTAAGGTCAAATTAATATTAAAATTTATCATCTGAATTTTAGGCAATATTAAACTCACATAAAACATCTTTCTCAAGTAGGGAATAGTTCCTTCCAAAAGACTGTCTTTTTTATAATATAATTATCAGTTGTCACACCACCACCAGTTTGCTTAAGCCCTAGTAATTGTCAGTTTAATATAAGATGGTAGTATGCGATTTCTACTGAGATTAAAATTAGTCCAGTTTTATGAAATGAAGTACTGGGCCTACATAGACTTAATAACCAGGTTCTTTACTGAGATATTTTTATCAACAGCATATGCTAAGGTTCATTTGCATTAAAATTGACTGCATTGTCAAGTAGCATTTAGTAAGTACTCAGACGTGCAAACTTGATATTAAGAACAATAAGCACTAACATTGATTTAATACTTATTAGGCACTAGGTATTCTAAGAACTGGCCACAACCTCATAAAGTAAGAACTACTACTATTGCTGTTTTACAGATGGGAAAATTAAAGACCAGAGAAATAAGTAAATAAGGTTACAGAACTAACAAATGTTAAGAGTTGAAATTTCAACCCAGAAAGTCTGGTTCCAACAGTTATACAGACAATGAAAATGTGGACAAATATATGCAAGGACAATCCAACTCACTAACAGAAAAATGTTGCAACAAATTAAATATTTCCATTGACATGCACATTATATAACTGACTCCCAAGAAAAATAAAATTACAAACTGCTTTGTCAAGCTGTGTGAGAACAAAGGGTAGAGAGAGAGAACTTGAGTATCTTATGAGCTAAAGCTAGGGTTAAAAGAAAGCAAAACTGTAAAAACTTGCTCAGTAACAAACTAAAAATAGGTAGTAGAGCAATCTGTGAGTTAATAATAACGAATATTCTTTAAACTAGCAATAAATGACCAGATGAAAAGCAAACAGATTTTGCTGTGGATTCAAAGTGATATTTGAGAGATGAAAAGAAGCACATTATTCCAGATTATGTTTGCTATTGGTTCCAAAGGGGAAGCTGAGGCTTCACTTCATAGGATTGTATCAGAAGCAAGTCCAAAACTGAAGATGGTGGTAACAGAAGTTGTCAAAAATAGCAGAAGAGAAAATGACTTGGACTGCATGCAAATAAACCAAGTCACATCTATTGATGAAATAAGATTGAGGGTGAGTGGGAACTCAACAAGTAAGTCTACAATAGGAAGCAAAAGGGTTAGCTGAAGGCAGATCTTAAAAATATGAAGATATTGTTTACCTTAGCAGAAAATGATCAAGAATTAAACTTCATGAGGCAGGGGGCTCTGTTGCACCCACTCTTGTGGAATTAGCCAGTGATAAAGATTGCCACTTATGTAACTTGGTTCAAACCCTTCTTCAAAGCTGTCTAGAAAGGATAGCTAGGAAAGGGGCAAGCTGCTACCACTGAGAATGAAAAGTCTAAGAGTAAAATGACTTAGAGGCCAGCAAAACATTTTCAAAGTAAAACACACAATTGGCTAGAGTTAATTTTGAGATTCTTAAGTCAGAGAAGACCTGTAAAGTTTAAATTTCTCATCCAGACTCCAAAATAAGAATAGAAGTGGCAAGGTAAATCTATGAAGAGCCATGTTACCAACATTTGCTCTCAAACAGCAATTCTTTCTGAAAACATATCCACACATGGGCCTTGCCGCATGCTTCTATAACTATATATATCTACATCTAAGTATTCTATAGCTGTACCTAGTGTTGACAAACTCCAGGATTCTTAACAGCTGAGTCCATCACAGATCTTTAACAGAACTGAAATTTTTAAGACTACAGTTCAGAAATCACACTATCACAGAAAGTGATATAATTCCTTACTTTTATTTTTATTTTTTTGGTATCAAAAGACAGAAACTGTTCCATGGCTGAGTAGAATATGAAAGCCAACCCTACCAGAAGGGAAAAAAAAAACACATTAAGTTAGTAGCCTTGAGTCACAGATAGCAGCAGTATGCATGAAAAGGGTAGAAACAATCACACCCTACTGTTTAATGACCAACATGGGTCTGCCTAAAGCTGGTTATGATTCCCAGAGTAAGAACACCATATTCATATTACAGCTCGATGCCTGTTCTAAAGAAATGTTCAGATCGAGACGGGAAGCATTGCACAAATCTAGGGGATACTACCTATACTACAGTCTGTGTAGATGGTGTCCGTGCAGTTTTATAGTGACAACCTGTCTACCCTGACTCAGCCATATTGCTTCCAATAGCTTACTATGCTTGATCAAGGTCCTTGTAGGTTTATATGACAAATATATATTCCTTTTATTCACCACATGCTTACTAAAGTGCCAAAGAATATTCTCTTCTATCTAAACAAATATTTGTTTTACTGGAATAAAATAATTGATATTTTCCATACAATGCTGTCAGTTAATCTTCTTTTATTAACTGAGAAGAAGGAACTCATGACAACAGTGTCAAACAATGCTGGATGACTAATGAAACACCTCCTAAAGCCCCTTAAGTGTGGTCACTGCCACAAACAAGATAGGCCCTCACCCCATTACTGACTCAAGGAAAAAAGTTTAACCTCCTGATGACAGCAAAGATGAGTAATCTGTGGCATTTACAAAGTATTCTGTGGTGAACTCAAGAAAAGAATTTAAAAATTATTCTCAACATTAAAACAAAACTCATAGACATTCCCCAGATGTTATAATAAGATTTAGTATAGTCAGGGAGGAGTCATCTGGTCAATCTCTTATTTCATGTCAGTACTTCCCCAAAATTGGAATATTAAGAGGGTTCCATGGTCAATGTTTTAAATACCACATGTTTTAAATGCTCCACATCCATCTTGGAGCATCACCATGCACATTAGCCTACAAAGGCTCTGAAAAGTCCTGCAGTAAGGAAATTGGTTTTGTTAACCTAGTGTTCCCCATACTTGTTTGACCACAAAACTTGTTTTTTGTTTTGTGGTATACCAGTGATATGAGAAACAGAGTTAGGGAAACGTGACTCAAAGATTATCATGTATATATGTATTAATTCTTTTTAAATAACTAAAATGTTTTTTAATGTTTAAAGAATTGAAAAATAACAACTAGCCAGGCACTATGGCTCACACCTGTAATCTCAGCACTTTGGAAGGTGCAGGTGAGAAGATTGCCTGAGCCCAGGGGTTTGAGGCCAGCCTAGGCAACCTGGCAAGACCTCATCTGTACAAGAAATCAAAAAAATTAGCTGGGCATGGTGGTGTGCACCTGTAGTTCTAGATACCTGGAAGGCTAAGGTGGAAGGATCATCTGACCCTAGCAGTTATGGTGGTCATGAGCATGCCACTGCATTCCAGCCTAGACAAGAGATTTCAACTTAAAAATTTTTAATTTTAAAATAAAAACTAACAGCCAAAACTAAAATAAGATTTCCTTTGATGACTGCAGAATACTTATAAAAACTGCAGTGCCTCAGGGTCAACAATTATTGGTTGATAGCTTTACTTGGTAAATGACAACCAAAATAAGATTTACTGCATATTTGGCGATGCTAGAAATAAAAGACAAAAAGCCTGTTTTATAGTACTCACTGTCACTTAAAACTCTCACAAAATGAATAAAAACATATAAATATATAAAACATATAAATATTTGGAGCTGACAGCATTTTAAGTGCTCACTAAGAACATTTTATAACTGCACTTATTTTTTTGTACTTATTTAAAAACCCATTTGTCAGAAAACATCTGAAACTCTAGGACTTCAGAAACTCACAACCTTAGCAAGAAGGTCTCCTCACATTACTGACGTCATTGTGATTATCTACTGAAACCAACAATGGCACCTACTGAGGATTATTACAATACTTACCACATTACAAAAAGAATCCAGACCAATGCTATGTACATACTTAGTACATTCTGGATTAGACCAAGTAAAATTTAACAACAAGCTGAACAGCGTTCTATAAAACAAAAACAAAAAGTCAGTTAGGCTAATTCTGTCTGTTTTTCTATGCTATGGACTCACAGCGAGAAAGAAGATAGTCTTGGAACTCCATGACTGAATAAAATCTGAACTTTTTATCTAAAATATATCTACACTTACCTTAAGAGAAGTTCTTTGGGTAATTTTTTGTTAATAAGGCCTTCATCATTGTTTGAGAAAACCTATAAAGAAAAAGAAAAAGAAAAAAACTTGTGAAACAGTTCTTCAATCAATGTGAAAAAAAGATTGCATGTCTTTATACTGGACTAGAACAGTCTCAATCATCGCCCTACAGATATGATGATACTAATTTCATGAAGCTACCATACTCCAATAGAGGAACATAAAATATTTTATACTCTATCACTGTTTCATAAAAATGGCAATACACAGTCATTTTAAAACTACATTATATTGGAGGTTGTTGTCAAAACAATTAGGTAAGAAACATATATAAAAGATATCCAGATTGGAAAGAAAGAAGTAAAGCAAACTCTATTTGCAGATGACATGATCTTGTATATAGAAAATTCTAAAAATCCACAAAATATCAATTAAAACTAATCTAGTAGTATCCTACAAGGCTGCAGAATACAATATACAAATATGCAATATACTTATACAAAAATAAATTGCATTTCCATACACTAGCAATGAATAATTAAAAATGAATTTACAAAAATAATCCTATTTACAGCATCAAAATGAATACTTAGAAATAAATTGACCAAAAGAAGTAAAGACTTCCATCTGAAAAACTTATACAAAACATTGTTGAATTTTTTTTTTTTTTAGTCAAGGTCTCACTCTGTTGCCCAGGCTGGAGTGCAGAGGCATGCACATAGCTACTGCATGATCCCTCTGCCTCAGCCTTCCAAGTAGCTGGGACCACAGGCATGCTCCACCACATCTGGGTAATATTTTTACTTATTGTAGAGATAAGATCTCACCAGGTTGCCCAGGCTGGTCTCAAACTTCTGGACTCAGGCAATCCTCTCACCTCAGCCTCGCAAAGTGTTGGGATTACAGGTTTAAACTACCATGGCCAGTGAGAGAAATTAAAGACTTAACTAAATTGAAAGACATCCACATTCATGAATTGTTCTGTGAGCAGCACCTCCTAAACTGATCCACAGATTTAATGTAATCCCTATCAAAACCCTACCTGCCTTTTTTACAGAAATTGACAGGTTGATCTTAAAATTCATATTGAAATGCAAGGGACCCAGAACTAAAACAACTTGAAATAACTAAATTGTAACTAAAGTAATCTTTGAGGCCAGGAGTGGTGGTTCAAACCTGTAATCCCAACACTTTGGGGGGCCAAGGCGAAAGGCTCACCGGAGCCTAGTAGGTCGATGCTGGGGTGGCCGGGAGTATGCCACTGCACTCCTGGGCAACAGAGTGAGACTCCAACTCAAAAAAATAAATAAACAAAATAAAATAATGTTGAAAAAGAAAACCAAAGTTGGAGGGCTCAAACTTTTTCCAAATTTACTAAAAGCTATAGTAATTGAAACAATGTGTTTAGTGGCAAAAGGATAGACATATAGATCAATGGAATAGAACTGAGAGTCCAGAAATAAACCCTCAAATTTATGGGCAGTTGGCTTTTGGTTTTGTTTACTGGAGTCAGACTCTCACTCTGTCACGCAAGGTGGAATGCTGTGACCTGGTTCATGGCTACTGCTGCCTCAATTAGTCTTCCAAATAGTCTTCCAAATAGAACTAGTTTTCCAAATAGAACTACAGGTGCATGCCACCATGCCTGGCTAATTTTTGCATTTATTGTAGAGACGAGGTCTTGCCAAGTTGCCCAGGCTGGTCTTAAATCCCTGGGCTCAGTCAATCCTCTCACCTCTGACTCCCAAAGTGCTCCAATAACAGACGTGAGTCACCATGCCCTGCTGGGCAGTTGTTTTAAATGGAGAAAAAAAATTGTCTTTTCAAACACTGGTACCAGGACAACTAGATACCCACAAGCAAAATGATGAATTTGTACCCTGTACCTCATGCCATTTAAGAAAATAATTCAAAATGGCTCAGAGACCTAAATAAATAGAAGAGCTAAAATTATAACCCACAGAAGAAAACATTAGCATAAATCTTGGTGACCCTGGATTATACAATGGTTTCTTAGATATGACACTGAAAGTAAAAGCAGCCAAAGAAAAAATAGAATAACTGGACTTCATCAAACTTAAAAACCTTTGTGCTTCAAGGACATCATCAAGGAAGTAGAAAGAAACCCCACAAAATAGGAGAAAATATTTGCAAATCTCATATCTGACAAGAGACTTGTATCCAAAATACATAAAGAACTCCCAAAACTAACAGTAAAAGATAGCCTAATTAAAAATGGGCAAAGAATCTGAATAGGCATTTCTGCAAAGAAGATACACAAATGGCCAATACACACATGAAAAGATGTTTAACACAATTAGTCATTAGAGAAGTATAGGTCAAAATCATAAGTAAGTTATTTCACATCCACATACTTTGGATGGCTAAAATAAAAAAAAGACATAACAAGCATGTGGAGAAATTGGAACTCTGATACACTGCTAGTGAGAATATAAAATGGTGCAACTGCTTTGAAAAACAATCCAGTAGTTCCTCAAAGGTTTAACAGTCACCACATGACCCAACAATTCTACTTGTAAGTCAATATTCAAGGGAAATAAAAACATATGTCCATACAAAAACTTGTACATGAATGTACATAGCAGCATTATTCAAAGTAGTCAAATAGTGGAAACAATTCAAAACAAATGTTTATTAGCTGATGAATGGATCAACAAAATGTGGTATAACCATACAAAGGAATACTGTTCAGCAATAAAAAGAAATGAAATACTGTTACATGTTACAACAGGAATAAGCCTGAGAAACCTTATGCATCTGAAAGAAGACAGATACAAAAAGTCACATATTATATGTTTCCATTTACATTAAATGTCCAGAAAAAGTAAATCATGGAGACAGAAAATAGAGTCATGGTTGCTCAGTACTAGGAAGCGACTGCTAATGACAATGAGGCTTCTTTTTGAAGTTATAAAAATGTTCTTGAATTAGACAGTTGTAATGACCATACAACCTGGTGAACATGCTAAATCCCACTGAACTGTACGTACATTTTAAATGAGTGAAATTTATAATAATGACAAATATCTCAATTTAAACAACATGGATTTAAAAACACGTAAATCACAATCCACCAGAGCAAAACTGCAGAAGTGGAAATGAGGCCATCAATAACACCCTGCATTTATTCTCATAGTACAGTGGTGTCAGTGATGAGTCTTGTATGTTGCCCGTGTGAAAGACTAATGCTTAGGAAGTACCTCCTGTATTTCATGCTCCAGTAAGCACTGTGCTAGATGAATTAGCCAAAGTATCTCATTTAATCTTTTTCTAGTTCCTTGAGGTATAAATTATAGATTTTGGATCTCTCTTCTTGTTTAATGTAAGTATTTACAACTATAAGTTTTCATCTAAGCACTGAGTTCACTGCATTCCATAAACTTTGATATGTTGTCTACATTTCTATTCATTGTAAAGTATTTTTCAATACTCTTATTTTTTTTTTGCCCATTAAGATTGTGGTTAATTGCCACAGATTTGTGAATTTTCTAGTCTTTCTTCTATTATTAACTTCTAGCTTCATTCCATTGTCATTAGAGAAGATACTTTGTATTATTCCAATCTTTTGAAATTTATTGAGACTTGTTTTGTGGTCTAACACAAGGCCTATCCTGAAGAATGTTCTACACACACTTGAGAAGAATGTGTACCCTGCTATGGTTGGGTGAAGTGTTCTACCTCTCTCCTAGGACTAGTTGGTTTATGGTGTTGTTGAAGACTTCTATTTCCTTATTATCCTGCGGTCTAAATGTTCCATTACTGAAAATATGGTACTGAAGTCTCCAACTGATAATGAGGGGGTGGTGAGTGACATCGTGACAACCTTCATGTATTTCAATAGTCAGAAGGTTGGTCTTATTTTCTGTTATTATTACAAAAGCCAGTGAATCAAAGTTACAAGATTTCAACTCAAAATACAGGGACAAAAAACTTTTTCTAGCAATTAGAACAGCCCACACTAGAATGCTCTGTTCTTTAAAGCAGTGATGCTCTATCCACAGTGCTCCTGCAGAGCCCACAGAACCAGGAATGTCAGAGAAAGGAATCCCTTTTTCAGTGAGAGACATGACTAGGGAACCTCTAAGAACCAAATCTAAATTATCGAAAGTCTATAATATAGGTTCTGTCACTTACATCTCAGTAAATCTTAACTTTTTAACTCTTCTGTGCCATAGTTTCCCCTTCAGCAAAATGAAGATAGTAATAGAACCTACCACAAAGGTTGTTGTGAATTAAACGAATAAAGTGCTTGGAACAGAGGCATGCAGTAAGTGCTCAACAAGTGGTAGCTATACTGATAGTTGTGAAGTGTCCGACTTTTCTCTTCAGTTCTTCAGTTTGCTGCGCATGTGCGGACTGCTGTTTGGTGCATATGTGTTTACAATTCCTCTAATATTAATAGTACCTGTAGAAATTGGCCTTGCATCAACATATTATCACTTTTGTCTCATGTAACAATTTGTGACTTAGTCTATTTTGTCTTATATTAGTACAGCCACCCGATTTCACTTTTAACTTGTCTTTAGATCTAACAAGAATCTCTTATAGACAGGATAAAACTGGATCATATGTGGGTTTTTGTTAGTTTATTTTTATCCATTCTGCCAGTCTGTGACTTTTAATTGGTGGATTTCATCATTTTGCATTTAAGTAATTACTGATAAGAAAGGACTTCTGCCATTTTGCTATTTTTTAAAAAGAAGTCTGCAGCTTAAGTGTATTATTTCACAATGCCAATTTAGTCAAGTTGGTTGCCAGTGATATTCAAATCTTTTATATCCTTGCTGATTTTTTTCTCCACAAGTTTTATTACTTAGTGACAGAGATGTTATTATATCCAACTATGATTGTGGTTTTCCTTCCTTTTCTCCTTGGTTTGCTTCATGTATTTTGAAGTTTTGTTGTAAGGTACATACATACTTAAGATAATTATGTATTAGCCAGGCATGGTGGCTAACACCTGTAATCCCAGCACTTTGGGAGGTGGTGGTGAGATCTTGTTTCTACAATAAATAAAAAAAATTAGCTGGGAATGGTG